GCCTGTGTATGTTGGAGGTTTCTTCCTGTTAAAAGGGAGTTTTTCCTTCACACTGTTGCCAAGCGATTGCTCATAGGGGTTTTCTGATTTTTGGGGTTCTCTGTATTATTGTAGGGTCTTTATGTTGCAATATAAATCGTCTTAAGGTGACTATTGTTGTTATTTGGTGCTATTAATAAAATTGAAGTGAATTGAAAATTGAATTAAACTAATTCCATCTAATTGCTGTCTTATCATGAACACCAAATTCACTTTAAGGGGGCCAACTATTATGAATGGCTGGCTTCTGTCTTCTAAATCATAATTTCAAAGGCAACAAGATGGCAGTTTCAATCTGTTGGTTAATTCTGGTTGTGTCACAGTGTCCTACCAGAGTATTCCCTAGTGTGGTTTAGCATAAGGAAACAAAACCACTCAAAAATGGCCTGCATACTAAATAAAATCATCCTTCAAAAAAACAGACAGGTGCAATCAAACATTGAAGGTTAAATGACAAATTCAAATTCATAGAGGAAAATAAGGGAAACGTCTTTCTGAAATGAAATGAAGACAGAAAAGAAAGTTACTCTTGTAGAAATATAAATGATAAGAGTATAAAATGCTTTGGGTGATATAAACAGGAGGAATGCTAGATTCAGTCTGTCAAGCTATGGGCTATAGAGATGTCCATTTTAGTTTACCCTATATTTACTTCACTTTTGAAAGTTTGCCAAATTAGCTTCTAGCAGTTCTAGTTTGCAGTGAATCCAGATCCAGAAAACTATAACTAGGTTATTTTCAAAACTGATGCTTCTCAGGCGCATCCTGGAGTCAAAAGCATCATCCTTTTTTGTGTGTTTTTTTGATTACTTACATTTATTTGCAGCTAGCTCTGAGGTCAGCATCCTTAGAAAGATCTATTTAAACTGAGTTTAAAAATGTCTATCTTTTGAGATATGACGGAGTTAGACTTTAAGAATAGTAAGTTTGGAAGGTTGGACTACAAATAAAGGCTGCACATTTTTATCTTTATCTGTACTACACCTTAGTACCAAGTGTTTACAATGTAGCTATTAATGTATAGACAGTTGTAACTGAATTTTCAAACATGAAAGAAAACTTAAAAACATTGGAATTCCTCAGAAGGACGAGGGATGTCTTCATGCAAAGATTTATGGATGTAATGCAAACATATTTGGGCCATGTGGCTTTGCCTCATTTATCTCTTTTTGTTTGCTTTTTGGACCTTTGGGGTTTTAGTAAACTCAAGGTACCCTACACTGTAGCATCATCATAGACTCTAGTTGGGGTAAAAACTGTTGTTTGAGGACTGGGGCCTGGTGGTTAGCAAACAGTCTGCATAGCCTTAGGTCCTGCATATATATATAGCACTCAGCCTCAATACTGATGACCCAAATCACACACACCACAGATAAATCATACACTAGAGGCTGTGGCCGAATTTTAATCTGGGTCTTTAGAACAATGAAGGAAGTGTGCATCTTTCCATTCACTTCATTACGTTGTATGTGCAACCCATATGTCATCAATGTGCACTAACATTTATAGTACTGTACGCTCCTTGGATTCGTCTCTGTGTGTATGTGTATGTATGTGTGTGTATGTGTGTGTGTGTGCCGTCATTAGCACCCCATTAGCCGCAGCATGTACCTTATCGTTAACACCTTCTCCATACCTGAATAGTCCATTATGCTTCAGTGTGACAAGAGGTCCATTTATAAACATTGTGTTGGCACAAAAAGGGGCTTTAGAAGCTCGTCTCTCACAGGAAAAAAAATAGTTTTTTATAAAAACAAACTTGATAGCAGAGTGTGCACACTTTAGTGGAAACTATGACCGAGCATACAGACATGTGGGAGACATTGGGAATTGACAATGCCAGTGGCAAAGTAGCTTAATGAATCCAAAGTGGCCTAATAGCTCCTCTCGCACAATTTATTTCTTTCAGACCGAAACCAGATTAAAAAAAGAAAGAACATCCATGTCTAAATTGTGCTTTTTTTGTTTGTTTATTTCTAAAACCTGAGCTGAAATGAGAAATAGTCAGTATAAGGTGTGTAAATTGGTGCACTCAGAACAAGATGGCCTATTTACCTGGTTCACTAACGCACTTTCTGTCTTTTGTCCACTGCTGCTGTGTCCTCTTTCTTTAGAGAAAGTGCATTACTGTTCAATCCCCTGAAACCTACCTGCAGTGGTTTGGATTGCATACTCGCAGCAGAGACATATTCATATTCAAATAACAAACTCTTTGTTTTTTTACTGTTCTTAAACTTTTCTTTTATTATTGGGTATGTTTCGGTTAATGGCTGTAGTTAAGTATGAGGTTTGAGCATAGATTGCATCCAAATGACAGAGCTTCTGCAAAGTGAAACCAGTGCAGGAGTGTCTTCATTCTGCATTGTTCTTTAACAGAGGGTGACTCCTCTGGTTGCAACTCATTTATTCTGTAAATTAGGGTTTCATGTAGAGTGAAATAGATGAGAAAGTAGGGCATGTTTTACTATGAAACTGCAACATCCCTCAGTTTTGGTCAGATATGCCACTTGATCGTCATGTCTAGTTTCAAACACCAAGATGGCAACTAATTTGTTATGTCCATCTAAAAAGCCAAGAGTATGTGCAGGCCAGTGGACAGTGGAGGAGTCTTCAGCTCTGCTTCAACAATCCACCCCCACATGTTCTGCCATGTCACCTATCCAGCGTTCAGTCCAGACATCCATTTATGGTTTTCCAAACCAGTGTTTGTAAGTCCTCTAAGGAAGCTAACCACAAATTAACTCTTTATGGCTCCAGTTTTCAACTTCTTAAAACCTCTGCACCACCAAAATTGATCTTTATAAATATAAATTAAACAAGTCCAGACTCCCAAAGCTCCTCTATATCATCATCGTTATAACAGCTTAACAGTGCATAACCCTTTCCTTCTGACAGTAGTAGTGAATTACATACAAGATAACAAGATAGTAGTTGCATAAACAATTTGGCTTTTTAAATATAGATTTGATGATTTTTATTTTTTTTAATGCTATAAAGTGATGGAGCATTGATATTTGTCGTGCTGCAGAAAGTCAGTAATTGCCAATTGCCAATTGGTAATGGGTTAATTGAGCCAAAAAAACAGACATTCTGTTTTGAGCTTCATAAATATGATACTTTGCCACTTTTCTCTGCTGCTTGTCCTGGCAAAACGATTTGGTTTTAGATCTGGTGGATTTAATTACCAGCAAGCCTTCAAGCTGTACCACTATCTAACAAGCCAGGACACATACAAGCCTACTGGCTGCCAACAAGAAGAAAGGACTGGTGCTGATTTTGATTCGTTCAGTAACGAAGAGATGGAGACTGAGGCAGGGAAATGAGGACTGGCTTATTAAGATTTGAAAACCACTCCGAGACAGATGGCAACATGTGGTCAGTGTATCTTACCATTTCTGATATTCAACAAACAAAACAATCAATTCACCTTTGAAGAATAATCAATAAAGTGGAAAAGTTGTGAGTACAGTTGTGAGCCTGTACCAAAGATGAAGCCACCACATCACAACAAAACTCTTCTTTTTGTTCTTCTTTTTCCTTATTTGCTCCAAACAAACACAACAAAAAGGAAAAACAACATACTCTCCTTACAAATTTGTAAGGTAATAACTACTTTCATTGTCCTAAAGTTAACAGGTATGTACAGAGTGGGGGCACGGGGTGGCAGCAGCCCCAGGGTACTTTTTCTCCCACTACATTTTAGATGTAAACATTGTACTTTGTATTCCAATTTACTTTGAAGCTTTTTAAAAAAAACAAAAAAACATTTTTAATTAGATCTTGTGTATATAAATAAATACAAGATTAACATGAGGTTGACTGCATAAAAATTAGCACATTTTTGTGGGTCTCCTGCAATACTTGTGTTCCGCTCTACTATATTGATTCCATTATAGTCCACTGTTAGGTGATGTCCTAATTTATCAAGATATTCAAGTTTTAAGGCAAGGCGTTATAATTATATGTAGTTTTCATGAAATGAAAATGATAAACATATAAATTAGTAAAAGTACATAAAATAGGTCATTTTAGCCCATTGGTAGGTGGTTGCTATGAGATAAAGATAAAGAACCTTCAGGGACATAAAATCTACCTGTGTGCCAGTTTTGGTTGTTCAGCTTCTGATTGTATGGCAAATGTATTGATACCAAGTAATCAATTGTGTTTAAAACAATATAATGTATGCGATTCTACGATTCTTAAAAAGGGTCATTTGATTACTTTTAATTTTACATATTAAACATAACACTACATATATTTTGATCTTAAAAACTGTTGTTAGTTTCCCACTTTGCAAAATATTTTTTCCAATGTAAAACAATTTCCTGTCTCTTGTCTTGCCAGTTTCATGTAACAGCATGTGCATTAGAGCCCAGGGTTGCACATGAGCCTGAATAGTGCCCAGTGTTTTTTTGCTTTGTTTGTTTGTTT